TAGTCATCACCACCCACCGCCAACTCTTGGCTACTCTTTTACCAACAAATAGTGGGATTGACCATTACATTATAATGCCCCAGCAACTGAAAGGGCGAGCATGTTTGGTGTGATTGGGATACGAACCTGCAAACCGCAGATTACAAGCCGAGTGCTGTAACCACCTGGCCATGTCGGGCCAAGAATGTATTTTACAAAATACTAGTCCACTAAAAAAACATCCAAGACAGGTCACCCAGCCCGAAATGGAAAGGTTAAGAGAATGCTTGATAACTATATAAAAGAAAAGGGCTGGCTTTAAGGTTTTTTTTAATTTATAATACTTTAGGTTAAAGGATGGGACAGCCAAGATAGACCAACAGATTTCTTGTTGTCCCTAAACATTATGATAACTGAAAAAAACTGTCTCTGATAATAACAACACTGTTTTATTTCCTTAGAAATCATCAGTTATCAGTGAGACCATAATCAGATTGCTGTAACCTTTAGCTATACCAAACTTTTAAAAACCTGAAAAAAATCTTCAGTGGTAATTCATATACAAATCAAATAAAAACATATATCTAATATATCTTTTTTTCATATTATATGATGATTAATGTAAGAATGTTTGGCTGTTTCCTTGTTAATTTCTGTAAAAATAATATATTTACTAATTTGTGAAACAGAATAGGTGGAGAGATAGGGAGTCCTCTATAGGTCCAAGTCTATTAATAGAATATTAAATAATGCAATTCATTTTTGCAAGTGAATGGAGCGGTGGGGGGGGGGGGGGGGGTCCAATATGCACTTGCTTATACAACATTAAAGAACAGGTATTAATTCCTGAAAAAATAGATGAGGTCCACAACCCCTGTTCTACATCAGTGCCTGCTTATACAACATCAAAGAACACACATTAATCCTGTAAAAGATGGATATGGTCCACAACCCATCTCCTAGATCTGTATCTGCTTATACAACATTAAAAAACAGGTATCAGTCCTGAAAAAAATGGATGAGGTATAGTTTAAGTGGATTCATAGACCAAAATTTCCAAGAGAATGCAACCTAATTCTACTTAATGATATAAATCCTTGGGACAGGAAATAAAGTCATGTAAGAAAGTAAGAAATTTCTGATCAATGACAGAAAATTCAAGCACACTGTTAAATTAAAACAGGTGAAATTCAAACTATTATGTTGGGAAGAACACAAAATACTAAATATATAGACTTACTATTAGTTATTGTGAAAGTTTCATCTTCCTTTTTCATCAGTTTGATATTCAATAAATCATCCTGCTTCTCATCAGAAAAAGGTTCAACTTTCATCTTTAATACTTCCATGATTACATAGAAGATTCACCTTTATATTCTGTAAAAATGTTTCTAGTTAAACTAGAGAAAAAGTCACACTGTTCAAAAACATTGCAAAGTCTTAAACAAATATTAATCTCGAAATTCACATTATCTTGATAACTTTCATATCAAATTATAAACTTGTCTTTTCACTTCTTTATATTAAAACGGTAACGATCTAACAAACTGATTTTTTTATGTGTAACAAGATACCATGACAGCCTTTACAAACATTTTATGTAGTTTAAACATGCACTAAAAACTGGGAAATAGGTTTCTACTCTAGTGAATAGAAGTGCCTTATATATATAAAATTACATTAAAACACTAAAAACTACTAAAATCTCTTCAAACCACTTAGGAGTTAAATTACTGACAGTTCCATTTTTTTTTCACATTTCCCAATCGATTTTCTACATACTTAAGTTAAATAATTTCGACAAAATAATTGCACTTACAAATTACATGCATATGTCCAGTGGGTTTTCTTCACACAAACTTGTGAGATAACAAATTTTCCAATTATTTTGTTATAGTTTTATTTACAATTCATTTATCATTCATTCTATTGTTTCATTATAAGAAAATGCTGTTATGTCTCCGTTTGTTAATTAATTTTCCGTAACTTCGTTCCGACGAAACTTTAGCGACAAAAGTCCTTACTTAATAAAACTGGTTTATTCTTTCTGAATATAACTTTACCAATGCACTGAACGTTTTTCCGAATATAACTTTACGATACACTTCATTTCAACAATTGCGCTAAAACAAACGCTATAACAACGATTGAGCACGTTAATACTCTCTGAGTGCAGATCAATTACTCACTGTCCACACACACATTGTCACGTCACGCCGTGACCATCTTATATATACCAGACCCCCCCCCCCCAATCTAGGAAATGCTAGAGCACTCCCGAAGGAACGGGATAGTTCTAGAAACGTGGCGTGACACTAGTCATGTGACCTCGCTGACGCAACAATATATATCATAGTTGTCTTTAAACTTACAATTCAACATCAAATTGTCTTAGAAATCACTGCGTTCTTAGTGAGTTGGCTCACGTGTTGCCGAGGGGTTAGTGTGTCAAACTGCAGATCGAAGGGTCCAAGGTTAGAGCAATGACACCCATGGAGCATTATAAGTGTGACAGTCAGTCAATCCTTTTACTCAGTTGAAATAGTAGGATGATCAAAACTTGTTGATGCTGACTAGCTGATTTCCTTCTGACTAGTAACTCAAAGTTAGTATTATCCGTGTTTGAACGGTTGAACCTCGTGGATTTAAACATCGCTGTTTATCATATATGTATTGCATAAGATACCTTTTATGTTTAAAATTCCAAATCCTTAGGGAGCTGTGCATGTTAGTTACTCAAACAAATTGGTAAAAGCCGGATGTTTGAGGTGTCTTCCACAGGATGTACCTCAACTTGTCTGACATTAGTTTCACTAAATGAATAACTTATACAATAATATTGTATGTATAAATCCCCCTTTACTTAGAAGTTTTACACCAGATGACTGGCCCAGTCAGCAACCTTATAGAACAAACATGCTGGATATCAGGGATTCGAGCTTTGATCCTCAGATTGCGGGTCAAACGTCCTAACCACTAGGCCCATTTTTTTTATACACACATATATATCTAATATACAAAGATAAGTTTGTGTCTGTTTGTTCGCACCTTTCAGCCCCTATAATAGTAGGCCTATAAAGTTATGGAATCAGCGTACTCAGGTTTAATGTCTGTGACGTCACATTTTTTAGTGTCACTGAAAACTTTATGATCTATTTTTTCCACAGAAAACAGACCAAATTTTTGGTCTGATTTAAATGTAAATGACGTCAGAAAAGTGTATGTGTATTTTATAGAGATGTGTGCTGCCATGTTGTGTCTACTAACAAACAACAATAACTTTTTGATAGACTAGTCAAGTTCAAACCGGGAAATTCTGTAAAAATAAAATGGTTTTTATTCACTTTATTTTCTGAGGGGAGAGGAGAGTTGGGTATGATAAACATATCTGATGTTCATTATGTATCTAGAGTAAAATGTTAAGAAAAAGAAAAAAACAGTTATGATTGCCAATCACAAGCAGCAAAACATATGCAACAAAAGCGACAGAGTGAGACTCCACAAGAAAGGGAAACACGCCCTGACAGCCAACGAAATAGACAAGCTCTCATCGTCAAACCGATACTGAACAAAAGCGGTAATTTCACCGAGTCATTTACTGAATCCACCATTCAGAGCACCGTTCTCGAGAAATATCAGGAACACGAGACCTTCGTCGGCGAGTGAATAGAGAAGATATGATTGTAATGGAGGGGGGATATACAATAAAACCATGATTTATTTTATTTTATTTTACGCTCTCAAGCCAATTATTTCACAGAAAATATGCCCATTTGACGTTCAGGCGGTTCGTTTAACTATTATACGTAATGTACGTTTTGGGGGGTGGTTAATGAAAGTGTTCCAAAACGCGGCATTAATTTCTCGACGACCTAATAGTTATAAAATTCAGTACGTGATTGCGTAAAGTATGTTTTGACGATGATCACTTCCTTTTAAACGTACCGCTGCTATGTTGCTAGGAGCAACTAGTGGATCGACGGTACATTTGAAAATTCATAGCGATTATGCAGGTAGCGTCGCTCCATTTTAAATAGAAAATATAAATTATAATCATTTGTATTTTGTATAATTATATAGGTTTTGTATATATATAATTATTAGATGTATTGTTTCGGACTTAATTAGGCTCTTCTATGCCACCTGACATACTGAGCTGATTCGACCTGCAACGTCCCCCAGTGGCACAGCGGTATCTCTGCGGACTTACAACGCTAGAATCCGGGTTTCGATACCCGTGGTGGGCAGAGCACAGATAGCCCATTGTGTAGCTTTGTGCTTAATTACAAACACACAAACAAACGACCTGCAGCGATAGCTTGCCAGCTATCCGTAACGAAATACTACCTAATATATATCGTTCTTTATATTTGTTTATAATATTGTTATATTTAACAGTTGCTGTTCAGTTTAATTTGATATTTAAAAGGTTTATTAACTGATTTTAATGCAAACATTTAGTTTACAAGTACTGTTAAATGTTTTATTAATTTCCTGAACTGGACAATTCTAGCAAACACTTTTCTTGATTAAAACACTTTCAATTGATAATACAAGATATTCATATGAACCAGCTAGTTTATATTTCATGTCGGATAATTAGTTAAGAAACTTTCAGACATATATATATCATTACATAATTTTGTATATAATTATATTTTCACTGCACTTTGCTTACAAAAGCCCCCGTCCCTCGATGGGACAGCGGTAGGTTTTCGGATTTACAACCCTTAAATTAGGGGTTCGATTCCCCTCGATGGACACAGCGGATAGCCCAATGTGGCTTTGCTATAAGAAAACACACATAAAACACAAAAGTCCTTCAGTAACACAGCTGTTTGTCTGCGGACTTACAACACTAGAAACCGGGTTTCGAAACCCGTGGTGGGCAGAGCACAGATAGCCCATTATGTAACTTTATGCTCAACTTCAAACAAACAAAAGCTTACAAAACACAATCAAATGTATTACATGATGCCCCCCACCACCAAAACACAGCCATCGGACAAGTCCAGGAGAAAGTTTAAAAACATGAAATTACAGTTAAATAATACTACAATCAATTTTACTAAAATCGTTAAGTTTTTAGGTCTAACTTTTAAGTCAAACTTATCCTGGAATAAACATTTTGATGATATTATCAGTAAAACTAGTGCTGGAATTAAGTACTTAAGACGCATTGGTGGTATCAACAAAGGATGCTCCGCCAAAACAATTATAATAATTTACAAGGCTTACATTAGACCCCATTTCGAGTATGGAAATGCTGTAACATGTAACATTACAAATAATCAATATAGAAGAATACAAAATCTTCAGAATAGAGCAATTAAAATAGCACATAGACTTCCCAATTACACTCCTCCCCGTCACATCAAACATGTTCGTTCTTTCAGCAGTGGGGGCGTTATAAAGCGACGGTCAATCCCACTATTCGCTGGTAAAAGAGCAGCCCAAGAGTTGGCGGTTGGCGGTGATGACTAGCTGCCCTCCCTCTAGACTTACACTGCTAAATTAGGGACGGCTAGAGCAGATAGCCCTCGTGTAGATTTGCGCGAAATGCATAACAAACCAAACCATTGACCCTTGACTTTCACTTTGCCCCCCCTCCGAAACATTTCTGCCAGTGGCGCTACTGTTGTCGCTACATATTTATAAATATAGTGACGCTATTGCTACCGCTACTTTTGAAAATGACATTTTTCATGATAATCTTTGTTTGTCTATGGATAATGTACGAATGAAAAACGCAATTTTTGTTTCGGTAGATGATAATACTTTATTGCCTCAATAACATAATACATACTTCTCAGAACAGCCTATACATATTGGTGGGAGGAAAGCAGCTAACAACCATACAGCCTTTGACACATTCGATGATAGTATTGAAACAACGGAACGTCAGAAAATAAAGGAATATGAAGACAGTAATTATAATAAATGAGCTAAATTCACGACAGCAACTTTAATGGAAAAATTTGTAACCAATCGATTTAATTCATACCTCGAAACATAAGATTTTGAACAATAATCAAAATGCAGGCAGAAAAAAATAGGCAAACTTCAGACCACCTAGTTAGATTAACTGAATTAGTTTATCAATAGAAAACAAACGAACATAACTACCTTCCTTGATGAACAAAGAGCATTTGACTCAGTTTGTCATAGTGGATTAAGATATAAATTACATAATATTGGTATTCCGACCCAATTAGTACGATGGATATCAAGTTTTCTCACTAATCGTACTGCTAAAGTTAAGATTAATGGCGTAATATCCTATCCATTCGCACTAGTATCCGGAGTCCCGCAAGGGTCTGTATTATGCCCCACGCTATATAATATCTTTGTTAATGACATACCGTTCCTCTCTTCAA